GAAGTTTAATAAACTCTGATTGCTTGACTAATGCACAATCTTATTGCTTTTCCGGAGTTGATTTTAATGAAAATATATGGTCACTATACTTATTGGTGCAATATACCCTCATTGTAATGACTATTATCATTAGATTTGCATAATAAAAACTTACTAAAATGACTTTAATCGGTGCTTTTAATTCAGGGGTGTGACTCTAATAAGATTTTTTGGAGGGTCATTTTTGTTTCTTGTTTTTTTATTGTTTTAACTCCATAGTAGCTCTGTAGCTTATACACAGGAGTAAAATCCAGATGTGTTTACTTGTATGTAGTGTGAAAGAGAGATGCACCCATCTATATAAATTACATTCAGATCAAATTTGAGAATGTGTTTCTGAAGAGCATCATTATAAATGAAAATGTATTCTAATACTGTACAACCATTTTCAAATGTGTTTTAAAGGTCAGTTCACATAAAAATTACTGTGATTTAATCTTATCAAAACACAGCTCTTTATGGTTCTCTGAACTCTTTTCTTTTGGGTGTTGTTTTTGTTGTTATTCTCAAGTCTTTTTGTACCTTTCTTTTTTAATTAATATATAAAGACAATTATGTGGCAGAAATCATTTCTTTTGTATAGCAGAACATTTAATTATAATTTATACAATTATTTCAATGCGTTTTTAATGTACAGTGGCCAAAAATCACCTCTTCTGAAACTCAACCTCTTCATATCTGCTTAAAGATTTTTCTTTTCAAGGCAGGGCACAGTGGCTTATATTTATAATCCTAGCACTTTGGCAGGGTGAGGTGGGAGGATTGCTTGAGGCTAGGAGCTCTAGACCAGCCTGAGCAAGAGGGAGACCCCATCTCTACAAAAAATAGAAAAATTGGCCGAGCATCGTGGCCCACGTAGGTAGTCTCAGCTACTCAGGAGGCTGAGGCAGGAGGATTGCTTGAGTCCAGGAGTTTGAGATACGATGAGGCTGTTACACTCTAGCCCGGGTGACAGAGCGAGATCCTATCTCAAAGAAAAAAAAAAAAGATGTTCCTTTTCAATAGACTTTTTTTCTGAACAGTTGTAGAGTTCTAAATAATGTTATCATATTTGTTAAATGGGATATTTATGAAAGCAGATTTTTACATGAGGGAAATCTATGAGAAAATATCTATATTAGATTAAATGTGCACAATTATATAGGATAAACACTAGTTGAATGAAATTTATAAATCAAGAAATCAGAAGCAGTGTTTTTCTTTATTATTCTCTATACAAGTAATTGGGATAATTTTTTATATGAGTATAATTTCCTATGTGCCTTGGAGCACTCTATCATTCTTGAAGATGTCTGTTAGGAAACAAATAATTATTATTTTTTGTTTGTTTTTGAGATATGATCTTGCTCTGTTGCTCAGGCTGAAGTGCAGTGGCCTGATCATAGCTCACTGCAACCTTGAACTCCTGGGCTCAAGCGATCCTCCCACCTCAGTCTGCAAGTATCTGAGACTACAGGCATGTACCACCATGCCCAGCTTAAAAAATTCTTTAAGAATGAAATAAACAGGCCAGGTGCAGTGGCTCACTCCTGTTATTGTAGCACTTTGGGAGGCTGAGGCGGGAGGATTGCTTAAGGCCAGGAGTTCAAGACCAGCCTGAGCAAGAGTGAGACCCTGTCTCTACAAAAAGTAGAAAAAATTAGCTGGGCATCATGGAGCATTGTGATAGGTGCCTATAGTCCCAGCTACTTGGGAGGCTGAGGCAGGAGGATCGCTTGAGCCCAGGAGTTGGAGGCTGCAGTGAGCTATGATGACACCATTGACCATTGCACTCTAGCTTGGACAACAGAGCAAGACCCTGCCTCCAAAATAAATAAATAAATAGATAAATAAATAAACAGCACAATCCTTCTCTGGTATTATTTCTGACCAGGGTGTCCACATTTGGTTTATCAACAACTAAAACTCTAAAGTCAAGGAGAGCCCTAGAAATAGAGTATCTAGCAAAATGGACATTCTAGGTCAGAGGGAGCAGTGGGGGCACAAATGGTATATGCATTGTGAACAGGATTTCAACTTTTGTTTTCTGTAGCACAGGGGTCATGAGGGAAGAAGTGGAAGGTAGCCTAGGGCTGAGTCATACAGGGCTTTGAATGCCATATTGAGGATATTTGTCTTTATTCTGTAGGTCTGCAGGCATTGAATATTTATGAATGGGAGTGTGATAGTCATTCATAGTCTTTATTGAGTTTCAATGTGTCAAACACTGCTTTAGGCATTAGGGGTACATCCCTAAACCAGATAGACAACAATCCCTGTCCTGTGGAGCTCACATTTTTAGTGGGAAAAACAGACCAAGATAATAATAATAAATTATAGACTATGTTAGACTGTGCTAAATTCTATTGAAAAAAAGGAAAAGTGGAGCATGTTAAAGCAGGTCAGGAGTGCAGGAATATGTGGAAGAGGCAGATGTTTTCCATTTGAAATAGGATGGACAGAATAGGCTTCACTGAGCAAAACCTTGAAAGGGGGGAATGAGGGAATAAGCCATATGGACAGTGGAAAAGAGCCTTCCAGGAGAGGGAAGAGCCAGTGCATGTGGCTTATTGCCTTACTGGGGAGCAATGAGGGGATCAGTGTGACTGGAGGTGGGTAAATGAAGAGAGTAGTAGGAGATGAGGTCCGAGGGGTATGGAGAGTGTGCAGATCAATAGGGCCTTGTAGGCCGTTGTAACAACTTTGACTTGTATTAGGAGGGAAAACACAGAGCCCTTGGAAAGTTTTGAGCCAAGGAGTGACATGATATAACTTCACTTTTCATAGTATCACTTTTTGTGCTGTGTTCAAAATTAACTGTAGGAGAGCAAAGATGGAAACGGGGAGACAGAAGGTTACTACAGAAATCTAGGTTAGCGCTGATGATGACTTGAGCCATATTTTTGCGGACTGCAGAAAGATTATCATGGGACTGGACAACTGCTTGACTATTGGGAATGAAGGAGAATGGGGAGACCAAATTGACATTGAAGTCTTAAACCCAGACAAATGGAATGCAGGTAGAACCACTAACAAATGTTACCCTCTTATTTGTAAAATGAGAGGCTTTGACCAGATTATCTCAAATTCCATACAACTCTAATAGTCTCTAACTTCGTACTGTGTAGTTTAATATGTTAATTCCAAAAAAGAGAGCAATAGGAGGGAGAGAAGAAGATTTAAGTCTGTTTCCACAAGACCAGTTAGAAATATTACTAGCAATTCTTTTTTCTTGTGTCTGTCTCCCATGATTGAACTGTCAACATGTATACAATTGAGATACAAATTTGAAGCATTTTAGAAACATGTGTACCTTATCTTAGAGAATTTGACTAAAGCAAGTCATATTTTCCCTTAATTTACATTCTTGCTCTGGAGATATAGATGTGTTTCTAACCTGGATTTTATAACCCCAAAGGAAGGGAAGACAAGGAAAGCAGTAGTTGCTTGAAGAATTGTATCATCTGTCTCAAAAACCCAGGGGGACAGGCACACATCCGGATGGTCCCAGGGTTAGTTGAGGCATTTTTGATACTGTGCCATTTCTTTCTCTGATTTTGCGTCACAGGAAATCACAAAGCTTGTCATTGTGCACAAAACAGTTTTCTGTAACCCATGAGAAAAATTAGAGAGAAAATACCTGGTAGAGAGAGAGTCATAGGGTGAATTCATCTTTCTTAAAGTGGCTTCAGTTCCGATATAAATAATCCCCCCTGTTTCCTAGGCAGTAAAGATTGATTGGGGTTTGTGTCAGCAGGATGTGGTGAAGACGTACTACAGAGATTAGAAGTTTAGATTCCCTGAGGGAATCAATGGATTAAAAGCAGAAAAAGAGCTAAATATATAATAGTGTATTTGCCCCGGCTGATTTAGGGGAGGATGATCTTTAACAGCACTGGGTTGGTGGTATTTGAAGACAATTTCCTGAGATCCTAAGACCAAGGAATTCTCACTTACTTAAAAATCATAATGGAATCCTCCCCACTAGTTAAAAGACCATATTTTTCTTAGTGCAAAGGGATATGAGCATGCATGACCAAGTTGATAAACATTATTCAGCTTGTATTGTAAGAAATAAATGTATAGGATGTGGCAGAAGGGTTAAATTCTATTCCTAACAGATAAATTTAAAAAATCTGGTTCTTTCCTGGTCACAGCCCTAATTGACATTGTAACATATTTTACAATATAATAAGAACTCTACTTGTATGTTATTGTAAGGTCTTGAAGTATCTTCTGAGTCATGGAAGATTACTAAATTGTCAGGTATTACTTTAGTATTGTTGTACTCTAATTATTGAAATAGTAGTGCCCATATATGTTATATGGTAGTTTTTATTAACCACTATATTTTATTAACTAGAATGAACCATTTCCAATGATTCTCAGTATTAGAAAACCACATGCAAAAAAAAAGTGTTGGGAGTTTTTGAAAAATGGGTGTATATTAATAGAATCACTAAGTTCAATTTTATTTAGAATATTTATAAAGGTATCCTTTAAATATCCATCACATGGAACACTGAGTTCTTAGACCAACCTGTTTTATTATATTTTACTACTGTTAAATGTAACATTTTTCTTACTGTCCATGTTATTTAATTTTGGTATCTTAAAAACATGATTACTCATTTCAAAACTTCAAAAAAACCTGCAAGGGCTGATGATTTTGTTGTCCCTTTTCTTACATTTGAACACTGTGGTAGCGATATCTGATCCAGATCTGACTTTAGGACTTTGGGAGCCTTATTTAAAAACAAATGGATACCCCCCCAACCTTTATTTTTAAATCTTTAAAAAGTTGTTTTTTTCCTTTTGTAAATAATGTATTATTTATATGTTTGAACTTTCTAATTCTTTTTGACTGTTTACAGTTGATAAAATAAAAGAATTATTCAATTATTATTTTATTGTTTGATCAATGAATTTCTCTTGTCTGACTGGTATTTCTTCTTTTTGTTTGTTTCCTTTGGTTTTAATAGAACATTCAAATAAAAACTTTGGCAGATGATGTGGTAAGGTGGTCTTAGCAGCACGTTATTATATTACTTATGCATGTTGCCTTTTAATTAAAATGGGTGGACATTAAAGCATTGATGTATGTAAGATATAAAATGTCTGGATGTTTACAAATTACAGTAGAATGGAATAATTGTCAAGAGACTAGCTTTTCTTTTTTTAATCTTAACCTAAACAACTGTATGAGATCCTAACAAAATTTTGATATTATCATTCCTGATATATACCTTAACCAAATGTTTTTTAAAATTTCTATATAAATCTAGACTCTGGAAGAAACAGATGTTTCCTTTTTTGATAGCCAAATAAATTTTGAATATATTAAACATTTATATTGGAGGAAATTAGTTTCAAATAGAAAATTAGTTCTTTATGTTAGGTGCAATTACATTTAAAAACCTTAAATATTTTCAAGCTGAGTCTATCATACTGTATCTTATTTAAACTTATGGGCTCAAAATTTAAATGTACCCTTTTATAGCTAAACTTTTAAAAATGGTATTTTAAGCAGTGTCAATTGTTTTCTATGTGACATTACCTATCTACAAATAATGTAAAACAGTGTTAGTCCTCTAAGGAGATGAAGGTATGTGGCTTAACTTCACTTTCTTACCAAGATATTGGTGAAATCAAAAGCCAATTTTCTAGATAAAAAAGTGAAGGACATAGTGGAAGATCAAATATATATGTAAGTAATGCTACTCAATAAAAAAGCCAGTACTGTGAAAGTAAATATTAAATGTTATGAAAGGAAAAAAAAAGATATGTTGATTTAATGGTCAATTGCATATTTAAATGCTTTCATGTCTACCATATTTTTAGTGAAATTTGACTGTTGGATATATACTCAGCTTATTTGGGATTACTTGATTTTTTTTCTGGAGTTGTTTGAAGATATACTACATATCTAAACCAACTTGATTTCCCTCAAAGTGTTAAGAGAAAATTAGAAAATATAGTTCAAGATGATTCAAAGAAATGAATCTTAAGTTAATGTGAAGACTGGAACAGGAAACAGGGGCTTGTGAATTTAGGCAAGTCACTTTTTCTGTAAAATGAGGGAATTGGACTAGATGATTTTTCAAGTTTCTTCTCAGCTCTAAAATATTATGATTTACATAATCTTTTTGTAAGCAACCATGTACTGAAATCAATTTCGTAAACCTAAATAAGCTGCTTAAAACTGCTCATATTTCTTTCAAAGTACACCTTTTACTTAACAAAAAGTGTTCTTTGAATTAATAAAATAAAAGGTATGTTCTTTTAATGGGGTCAACATAATTTTACATATGCTCTGGTAATAATTACTGTGACGCTTTTTGTATTGTTGAAGTAATTTATAATGACTGGTAACACGGCAGTGAAGATGCACTGTTCTCATGTCTAACATGTCTGCTTATTTAACGGGAGCTGATGGTATGCATGTGCTTCCTAACAGAAATCTGAATAAAACTGAGTTGCATTCAGTTTTATGTACATTACTAATTTTTGATGTTTAACATTTTATGGTTTGAAATAGAGTGGCCTTTTACATGGAACTGAAGTCATTAACTCACTTTATGTGAAATAGCAAGCTAATTATTAGAGATTGTACACGGAATCAATGGTTCAAAGTCAATATCCATAAAATAGCAAGTTCTTCCTAATAGTATTTGTAGGAAGAAGACATTTTTGTTTTTTATATTTCCAGTAAGTGGAAAAGGTGATGTTTTTATTTATTT